TAAGCTAACATGCCTTCCCCAAAAGAAAATGAGCGATCGTGCATTCTTTATGAAAAGAATGAAGAGTATATGATAACTACCTTTTCTAGGATTTACATTTTTTAGGGAAAAAACAAGACAGACATTAAGGCTTTGGAAAAAAATGACAGGACTATAGGAAATCCTTGCCCCTTTAAGAGCTTGAGCCTGGAAATTCTGCTTTCAAATTGGGTTCCTTGGTGAAAAAGGAAAACCCAAGAGCCAAGGCATTAGAGTATGCACAAAAAGTTGGGACCCAAGGAAAAAAAGATCGGTGAGAAATAGGATTGGGGGCTCATCTAAATAACTGAAGTGTCACAGCTGTCTGACCCCAAAATCAGAAAGAAAGGAGATGGAGGAACTTCAAACAGCTGCCTGAGAGCAAATTCAAGGAGATCCGTTTAAACTTTCAGTGCTGAATACCTTCCAGGCACCACTCTTAGTGTTTTATACGTGTCTTGTTTAAAATACAGCTATCACAAAAGTTAATTCCCCTTCTTTTATAGTTGATAAAACCAAGAAATAGAAAGACTAAGTGAAATGGCACAGTTAGTAAGTCATGGCGTGGGACTCAGCCTGGAGAAATATAACTGCTCCGAACCACCCCAAGAGGCCTTTACTCTTCCATCTGGACCCACCTTTGATAAATCCAACAGGCTCCTACGGGGACATCAACCTAAAGGAGGAGCATGAACAGAGTAAGAGAGAGAGACAGAAAAAGAAGGGCACTCTGCCTCAGGAAGGAACTTGGCATGGCCACGTGTTGAGAAAGAAGGTCCAGGCCATGGCGGCAACGGCGCTGAAAAACTATGGCTCAAAAAGAAGCAATTATTGACTACTGTTCCCCATGATTCCTGACACAAGCGACAAGGAAAACCCTGCACGCCTCATCCTTATGAAGAATACTGAAAAAACCTGCATGGCAAGAATTCGGCTGCGTTGTATATTTAGAGTGTACAAGCAAAGGTCTTAAGAAGACTGCATGGAGATTAGAAGCTTGATTGAGTGCAGGAAGCCAGGCATACTTAGGTGATGAAAGTTCAAATAAAACTTCTCTTACGGAATTAACAAATTTAGCACCAAAAAGTAAAATCAGCATCAAGGCTGCCTAAATCTAACAGCACTGGGCTGCAGTCTCAGCTTCCTACCTTTGTGTCCATGGATGAGGAAGCATTTACTAAATAAAGATTTTGGCCAGCCAAAAAGATCTCTTTTCTGTTTTGGAAGTTTATCTGGAGAGAGATTCTCTATGCGACTCATCATCACATTGAATAACCAACATTTGTAAAAGTCTGTGGTCACTTCCTCTCCTCTCTAGATCTAGAGTCAAGTATCCGAGACATAGAAAAAAGGAAAAGAAAGATGGTCAGGAAAAGTGCTCTGAATCACAGAGAGAGAGGGGAAGTACAGGGGATATTTGTTACTTTAAGTACAGATTTAAAATTGCCAGTTTATTTAGCTACTAGAATGCTATAAATAGTCTAAGACTATGCCACGGTGTTTATTGTTTACATGTAATATGAAAATATTGTCAAATTATGCACTTAGTAACTCCTGTAAAATAGCGAAAACAATGTAATTGGTTCTAAAAAACTTAATATCTTCTTTTAAGCTAGGTTTTATTTACCAAGCATTACAGCATTTAAAGAGAATGAGAGAGAGAACATTTTAAGAGGATAACCTTTCCTGTCAACTGTGTAACCTTAGGAAAATAATTTAACATCTCTAAGCCTCTTTCTGCACCTCACTAGCTAATGAGATAAAGTAAGCGAAAAAGCTCATATCCATCTGGTACCCCATTTTTAATATTCTGATTGTCACTATAAAAAACAAGTTGAAAATCTAGAATTATCCATAAATAGTTCTCAAGACGGTAGGGGGTTACTTTCCCCAAAATTACAGCTTACTTTGTTTTTCGTTCACATTTACTTTGTAGATGGAACCCTGAAGGTACTCTTCAAATATCTTCACACAATTATTGATTTCAAGTAACTTACAAATTATACATCTAATTCTAAAAGTATAAGAGTTTTTAGCATTTTTGGTAATAATGTAATCCTGTAGCAACTAAAACTAAATCAAATAATCATGTTTAAAATTACAAGAATAATATTTCAATATGTTCAAGTAGAAACTGAAAACAGGAAAGACACCAGCTGGACATAAAATTGATAATTGCTAGGATTAATAATATTTCTAAATTTGACTTCTTTAAAAATAAATCACTTTATAATTTATTTAGATTTCCATTTAGAGAAGAAGTCCTACTAAAAGCTCAAATAAGAGAAAGTGGGCTTGGACAATTGGTTTTAAAAAGAATCCACATAATCGTAGGGCTTAATTTTTTATCTACAATTCATCTCAAAGTCACCAGAATGACTTTTATATCAAAGAGCTTCAGTGAGTGACAAGAGCAAGACTTGCTTTGTACTATTTAAAAGTCATTATTCCATGAAATAACTTTAGCCTGCCAAGATGAGAAAGAATAACAGATGCTGTTTTTGCATTATCTGCGTTATTTCGACCAGCCATCCTTAGACATTTGGGTCAAATTTCTAGAAATTTGTTACTTGCATTTGACAGAGGAATCAAGTATCCTGACCTCTCAGTTTGACCTTTCTAATTGGCATCCATTTGTAATGCTTCGCTTTTTGTGGCAATTATCCTTAAACTAGTCCAAGTTAAGTCTATTTTTGCATGTACCAGGACCTATATCAGAACAAACCACAAAGAAAAAGTTTCTCTACGTATATTGTGTGTTATTAGGATGCTTAGATTTTGAAGGTGTTTCTATTTATACAACCTTAAAGGAGACAGGAAAAGTTGTTTTATTCAGCTGTGTTTAATCATTGTTTTCTATCCTATGCACAAAAGGGACCAGCAGGTGACCTGGTGATTGAAGCAATGGACACCCTCACATGCCCGACCGGTTCAAGTTCTGAACCTGCTAGCTTCATTTCTCATTTTCCCTCTCTCTCTCTTTCACTGCTTCTCTCTGGTCAAATTAAAATAAATGGTGCCAGCAGTTGGAGTAATGACTATGTCGCTGGACTCCCATGTAGTCGACCACAGTTAGAATCCCGGACCCCATGGCTTGAACTCATGCTGGGCGCGTGAGCATGCATGCCCAAGATCTCAAAAGGAGAAGGGAGAAGGGATTGCAGCATGGCCATCCTCCCTGGGGAGGGAGGGTGTGTGTGTGTGTGTGTTTGATTTCTCGCTTTCTGTCTCTCTGTCTCTCTCTGTCATTCTGGCGAGCACACGTGCTCTATAGCAAAAGCCTCTCCAAAAAAAAAAAAAAAAAAAAATGAATAAGTAAAATTAAATAAAATAATCTTTTAAACATTTTTAAACCAAATATCTTTTAAATAAAATGGAATGTCCTATGTATTCATAGTTGAAGCAGAACTTTATCCCTTAAAATAAATAAATGTAAAAATAAAAAATACTATATTACAGCTTGTTAGAGTATAGTAACCAGCTCAGAAGATGAAATAAGTAAATTGTTTTATAATTTTTGCATCAAGTGTTTAAAGACTCTAACAATGATCTTCTATTTATATTAATAAACAGAGATTTTAGTGTATATTATGTTTATATTATACGAATGCCATTACTATATAATAATAATAGGTAATATTTATTAAGCACTTTCAATGTACCAAATATGGTTTTGAGGACTTTAAATGTATTAACTCATTTAATCCTCAAATAATTACCGAAATTGATCAGATTCTACTGTCTCCTTCAAAAAGTATTAACAAATCACCTTGAGATGCTAAGGAAAAAAAATTGTAAAAGCCTATTGTGTTGAACCAAGTGGAATTCTCACTGAATTTTTTAAAGGTGTGAAAAGTAAAAATCATAAATAGTAAGTTTCAGTTGATTGTACCATTAGTTAAAACTGCCTATATACTTTGAAACTTGGAGAAATGACATTTTGAGAGGTCATTTAGTAAGAAATAAAGGGAATAAGCATAAAAAAAACTACCTTTACAGAAAACTGAATTTTAAAATGACTTAATATGAAGAAACCTAATATGTCATAGAAAAAGCATAAGTCACTTTTAAGTGCCGTGCACACATGTTAATACAAATAATGAAAATCTGTAAGTGGCTATGCTAAGCTAAACCTATTTCATTAATCTTAAAATGTCTTACTACTTCCCAGGTAGTGAACATTTTCGTAACGAAGCAAGTAAATAATTTGTAAATTGGTTACAAAATGTGTAAATGCTGTGAAGAAATTTTTAGGAGTATAAAATTAGTCTTTACAGTATTAATAAGTAATTATTTTTGATGTGACAAAAAATGCAAGATAAAACTTTCTGAAATTCAGCAAGTAAAATTTCTCCATGGAAGATCAGTCTTCTCATTCTTGGTTTCTTTGCTTCCTACTTAGTAATATGAAAATATGTTATATGACAGAGTCTTCCAAAAATTTGTGAAAATACATATTATGGAAATACTGTGGGTGGGTTTTAAAATTTCTTGCACCAAAATAAACTTGTATTTTAATTCTGTTTGTTCCACAAACATTTTGAAATTCTCTCTACTACTTAGATCTGGTTTTTGACATTGTGAACAGCTTATAAAATTAAATAAGAATCTGATTTACGAAGGATACATACAAAATCACATAGACATGTAAAATTTAAATGTTATATGTTATTTCCATAATATGTCTCCTTACTTGAGCCACTTCTAAGAAGTAAATAATAACAACTACTTTAGAATGTTATTTCCAAATACACTTACCCTTTAAAAACTAATTGTGTACTCAATAATTTTTTAAGTAAATAAAATATTATAATAATTACTTACAGAAATACACATGATTCTCTTGGTTAAAAATAACTGTACCAGAAAAAATAGAATTATCTTAGCAAGTTGTCCTTCTTATTTGGAAAATCCCCTCATTCCAATTTACAAATATAAAATCTCCATAATGCCTTTAACAAATATAAAGTAGTTCTACTTACACTTGCATGGAGTTTTCCTTTTTTTGACATCGCTAAAAATTTGTTGCTGAAAACTCCTCGTATTCCTACAATCCCTTGAGACACAGCAAATATTTCCAAAATACCTAGAATGACAGAAATCCCAAAATAAAACACAGACTCTTCTATATATCATTGTGAAGAATTAAATTTCTACATAAATTCCTTCCATTCTTTATTATGGCAATTTAAAAAAGACCTTAACATTCAACATTCTTATTTTTTATAACATTCACTACGTAAAAATAAGAGACTAGCATTCAAATGTTCATTGAAAATTATTAATTCAAGATTCAAATATTTGATTTTATGTCAAGATTTTTTTTTTCTACACATGATAATTGCTTTTAGGAAGCAATGTTTAACAACAGAATAATTTCAAGTTCTAAAGAGGTTGAAAAGATAGATTTTTTTTCCCTAAATGTTTATAAAATAATTGTCGCCCATTGTTTTTTCATCGTTAATACACCACTTTTAGTAATAAAGCAAATAAAATATCTATTTAAGACAAGTATAAATGACTTGAAAGCCTGGAAAATAATACTTGTTTATGTCAAATAAGTCCTCTTTTCTAATCATCATGATTGCAAGAGTACAAATAAATATATACCGTACTCAATTACTTAATGAGTAGCTCTTTTAAAGACTACACATACCGAGATACTGAAAGTTCTATTGAATAAGTTAGGACACTGAAGTTAAACATTTAAGGGTATAAACGATTATGTTTGAGTCATCTTGCATTTTGAATCATTTCCTGAAATAAAATGTCATGAGGTATTTTATTAATATTATAATGACATTTATATTTTGTATTTCATGGAATTATTGGGTCAATGTCCAATTGTATCCTACAATAATTTCAAACTCTATGTCCACTAGGTCAACAGAATCACACACTGGTACTTTAAGAAGATGAAACTCATAGTCTTCTAGTCTGCATATAACCGGAAAACCAGCATATTTACCATAAACTTATATATAATGTTATAGGAACATGATTTTTTTTTGTTAGTCGTCTACATCAAATCCGGGGAAAAATGAACAAAATAACATAGTTCACTAGAGCTAAAAAGAGACATACTTTAGAAAGGAACAAAGAAAGAAAGAAAAGGAAGGCTAGGAACTAGAGAAGAAAAAAAGAACATAACATTTTCATGTATTAAACTTGAGCATAGAAGTTAATTAGAATATTCCAATAGAATTCTAATGAATAAAGAAATTCACCAGATTTTCTTGAAATAGCAATCTCCTGTTACTGTATTTGAAGTACATATAAAATTATTTAACTTACGAAAGGGAGTAAATTGTGAATAAATATGTGATACTTGTAAATACATACATATGAATAACTTTATCAAACACTTGTACCACACAATGTGGGTTAAGACCTACAATTGTAGCAAATACTGTTATTCAACTTAGTCTCTTAAAAATACTTGATTAGAAAGTTCAAGGGGGGGAGGGAGATAGGCGAATAACTACTTGTTATAAAATATTCTTATCCTGAGTAAATAAAACATCTCAGAGAAACTGCAGCTGCCAATTTATTTATTAATGTTTCTTTAAAAAAACAACAACACAAAAAGCTAGTAGAAAGGAACTATTTTTGCTTTTAGGAATAAACTAAGAAAACTGGTATTCCATAAATCTTTTACTTTGAAATGTTTGAAATTCTGTTTACGACAGATTTTACTATAAAAATTACATGACTGTGCTACACACACACAACACCCTCATTTTGTTATTTTATCAAGTAAATGGTAACAAGGCACAGAGAATGCTTTCTAAAGGTAAATACATTACACGGATGTAATACGTTATAGTAATATCTTCAGTGAGTATGACTAGAACATTTGATTCCAAGTTATATTTCTCTCAGAATTACAGAATAATATTGAGAACTGTGTTAATGATTTTCAGTATTTGGAGATGGGGACGTGATTGTAAATGCTGTGAAAGTGCGTGTTAAAAATGAAAACAAGAGAATATGAAAAATCCCCTATTTGTGGAATGGGATACAAAAGAGACAATGTGGAGTTGATAGAAGAGGAGATTTGGTTATGTTTCCTCCAATTAACTCATGGTTCTAGGTTGTTAGGAGTTTCTTATTCCATTCTTGGAAAATTACCAGGCTTCGTAAATGCAAAGCTATTGTATATTAATGAAAAAAATTACTTAGTAGTATAAAAGATGAAATTCTCTTCAGTATATGTGTTTACAGGCTAATTTTAAGAAATAAAAGGGCTTTACAAATATGTGTTTCATGGAAATACATTGGTTTAAGTAAACTGGGTTTCTGGCAACTACATTATTCTATCTTTATAGGAAAACTCCACTTTGACTCATTTAAATTGTATCTCAACACTGGTATGTTCTGTGAGTATTTGCTATGTACAATTTACATTGTAATAAATTTTAAATATGAGGAAAATGAAACAATATATATGAAAATTTTATTATTTTATTACATGGTGTATGATTTCTTGTAAGGTTCAGTATAAAAATGATATATTGCCTGAGAATAAGAGAATTTTATACTTTTAAGAAAATTATATTTAACTGAAAGCTTCAACATAGTTTACATGTATTATTCTATTTAATACTAGGAAGACTACAGAAGAGAAAAAAGATGTGAAAAAAGTTACTTCTCACATATGCAACTTTGATACTGATTTTCTAAAACTCAATGTAATTATGGCCTAATATTGAGAACACTATTGAGACCATAATTTCCAAAGTAAGTCAGCAGTGATTTTACAATGTCTTGTTTTCTCAAGTATTAGAGCAGATTCAGCAAGTGTCATAATTCAACTTCCTGCCCACCCCTATCCACAAGTGACCACAGGGCTATTGAGGTTACTATGCCTAATCTCAGTAATTCATTTAGGAACTCTATATATTCTTTACAATCTAAATTATGTACAACAATGGAACGTATAAATAATAATAAATAATTTAAAAATAGTTTTTATAAATTACAAAAGAGCTATGTAATATTTGAAATCCATGTGCATTAAATCCAACATATATAAAACAACAATATTTATGTGACATTGATTTTTGCTTTAATTTCAGTAACTTCCTGACTTTTCTTTATGAGTTGATAATAATACTTTTTTTTAAAGAACCATTTTATTTAACTTTTTATTTATTTATTTTCATTTCATCAGAGAGGGAGAGAGTGAGCGAGAGGGAGGTGGGAGAAAAGTGAGAAAGCAAGCCGCCAGGTCTGGGACTCAAACCATGGTCAGTCATGTAGGAGTCCAGTGTCCTTAACCACCATGCCACCTGCTGGCCCCCAATAATAATAAATTTGATGGAAATTTTCAATTTACCTTATAGATGCCTTAACCAAATTGTCAAGTCTGTCTCCCAGACCATAGACAGTCAATGACTGCTAAACTGGATTGTCTTCATTGAGCCTCTCATTGCCTCTCTCTTCCTTGCCCAGACACTCCATGTGCACACATGTGTGGACACACGTATTAGGAATCTGCTGCTGTTGTGGCTTCCTCTTGCTTGTGTGGAAAGGAGTGAAGGCTCAGTATAAATTAATTCACATCAAAGCGCAAGTGACAGTGTATTATCTTTTCTCAGGTATTCACATTTAAGAAAATAAAGAGAAGAGGGGCATGCTTAACAGAAGGAATTATTCTCTCTTGGTGGAATCTCAGAGTTGACATCCAGGTTGAAGAGGGCAAGAAATTTTTGGTGTCTCAAATTGCACACATACTTACTTCCAAAGATAGTTAGGCATTATGAAGTAAGTTTATTTTAGTAAGAAAACATATACATATCTAGACTTTTCAACTTAATCCTCTCCAGATTTTTTACCATACTAGGGCTCTATAATAGTTGATACAATCATATGTATAGACTTCTCCCTTTTCTTGGTAAGTAAAATATAGAAAAACACAGATATTCCATGTATTCAAAAACTTTCAACAACCCATCTGAAAATCCCCAAAGAAAAATATTTTAAAACTGAAATTTCTCTACTTGCATCCACACAGTAACAGATAGACTATGCCAAGTTAGCAAATCTGAGTCTTGAAATACCCAGCTTAGCAGCCTTCACTGATTAAATTAGTAACAAAAAATTTCCACTTGAGTTTTTCCATACAGGAGATACAGATTCTGGGTTATCCAGGCTTGGGTGACTGTAATGATTCTACGTGTTGCCAAAATTGATGGTGAATTCAGAATTTTTAAAAATCAATGAAATCGAGGGTTCTATCAATCAAAATATGGGATTGCAATTTTCATATTGTATGTGAATGCTTTGGTTCTGTGTAGTCATAGTCTTAAACTTTTCCTCTTTAAATTGACAATGCGTGACTTCCCATTTTTCAACGGCCCAAGAGAATTTAACAGAAAGATCATACTGAAACTATACTTGAAAGCATGTAAATCTAAGCAAACATTTTGTTTCTATGCAATACTTGGATCATATCATCTGCTTTGTCATTTTTCTTCATCCTTCCTCAGTATCTCTTCAAGATAAAGGTTTATATGCAATGAGTTGGATTTCATTTTCTGTCTTCAAAATTTGAAATAACTATGTATAAGAGCAGCTAATCATATATTAATTGACACACCTAAATAGTTTCAAAATCTATGGCCAAAGTATCCTTCTGATGGTGAAATTAAAAATGTTCAGAAATTGCAAAAATATTTCATATTAAATGGTAGTTGTGAAACACATATATATTTATCTGTCCTAGCCAACAAGTATTACAGAATGTCTTTGGGTTAGAATGCAGTTTCATGGCAAAACTTTGACTTTTTAATTAATTAATTTATTTATTTTTTTAATGTTTAGGTAGCAGGATTTAACTAAAAGAACATAAGTTTTTTCAACATTACTAACTTACAGACAGTAGAATTAGATGATGAGATTAAATGGATGTATTCTTTATGGCCCTTGACCTAGCTCTCTCAGTCTATCTTGTGAGACTTACTCAAATGTTTTCTCACATGCTCTTAGTAAAAGTCTGTCACCAACACGTTAGTTTACACAAATGTCAGGAAACTGTCAAATGCTGTCTTCGAAGAAGTAAATGACCAACTGCGATGAGGAGGCTGCTATTTCTTTTCCACAGCTATGTGAGGGCAAAGACCCACTTTAAATTTCCAAATCACAAGTCATCTTACTTAACATGAGGCATTCCATAAATTCTTCATGGATCAATGATACCAAATTTTACAATATTAAGTAATGTAAGACTCTCCAGACATCACAAAGCAGAAAATCACAGAGAGTTGAATATTTAAGCTTTGCTTTTCTCTTCAAGAAAAATCTATGGAAGACACAAAACAAAACAAAAGCTAGCCCTAGCCCCAAAGTAACCAGATATCATGCATGCTTAATAAAGTTAAGTATCCTGTATGGAGTGCAAGAATGAATGAAAGAATATGTGAATGCAAACAGTGCATGTGGAAAGACTAAACTCAGGAGGGCTGCTGTAAACTAGAATAAGTTAGAAAACTGTTAGTTAACGTTTCGTTTAGGTGCTGTTTAGGAAGCACCCCTAGTCTTTTATAGATATCTTTCAACATGGATTTTAAAAGAAATGGAGGATTGGATACAATGGATACCTGTCAATGCCTTCTTTACCTGACCATTAATGGTTCTTTGTTGATCTCAAATTCCTTCAGGTGGTTTTCTGGAACCACCCCTCTAGCAAGGCCTAAATTGCAAAAATCTTTGTCTCTTGGTGCCTTTGTAGAGAGAAAAGGAGGTGACTCTTGGGAATAAGCCTCTTTTGCTGAGATCCCAGGCACACCTAACCTACTGTAGACACATCCTTTTGATCCCCCACTGCCAACCTGCTGCTTGCTGCCTTCTAATCTGGGGTCTTCCCTCGTTGAACAGAAGCTATCTTTTGTTGGCATTGACTTCCTGGATAAACTACAAGAAACAAATAGAGAAAGTTTTCCTCTAAGACAGAGGAAGAAAGATAGCAAGAAGCAGAGAACAATCTCAGATACTGACGAAGCAGAGTTGTGTGGGAAAAAAAAAAGGACACACAGAAATACCGAAATAAACCTAAGTCTGGCTGCCTCTGAAATTTCAGAACATTTCCCTTCGCCCCAACAAACCTTGCCCTCCTCTAAAAAGGCCCTGGGACTCTCCCGGGTGTGTGCCCAGGGCCTTCTGCCCGACTGGTGCTCCAAGCCACCTCTCCACGTGTGCTGCTGCCAGCTGGAACCGCACGTGCGTAAATCCCCCGACAGACCGACAGACAGACAGGCGCAAGGACCGGTGGACCCGCTCCTCCCCGGACGCTAACCACTGGCACCCGGGAGGTTTGTCAACCGGTTACCCCACCGACGTGCCCTCCAAGCCCGCTTCAGAGGCCGCTGCCAGGTTGTCAGTTCGGCCATGACTCCTACCGTCCCACGGCTCTACTCCAGAGCCTGGATAAGCTGGAGCCGAACTCATGGCGTCTTTGGTCTGAGATCCTGCAAGTTTAAGAACACCTGGGAGCTACTAGGGCCGGGTGCTCCGACGCAGCGCTATCTCCTGAGTAGCTCAGAGCCCCACCTGTGTTTTTACCTGGTGGACTAACCTCCCTGTAAGAGCAGTCTGGCCCTACTCAGGAAAACCTCCCGCAGAGATGGCTCTAGTCCCAGGCACAGCCCCAAATTCTCCTTTCAGCTGCCTTTTTAAAAGGAGGGGAACCAGAGGGGTTGTGACGTTCTGGAAACGCAGATGCCAGATGCCTTGGAAGGGAAGGAGAGATGGGAAAGAAGAGAAGAAGAAAGCTAAAGGGAAAATCAAGAAAAACCTTAAGCTTTTCTTTTTGTTGTTTGTTATGAATTCTACACAATTTGTTCCCATGCCTAATTAAACCTCCTGTGTGTTTCTTCTAAAATAAAAAACTTTCCCCTAAGTGTTCCTGGGGATCAAAGGTTGGCCACTCTCTCTCCTAGCAGGATATTATCATGGTCTCATGACATTAAACGTTTTTAACCCCTACTCTGAAATGAATAATTCCAATGTCCATCACTGTCCCCCTCTCTAAATGTGTCTTTTTTCCAGATCATTGAA